ACTCCTAGTTCTCAATGTCCAGTAACTATCTTTGATAATCATTAATATCATTGTTGAAGTTCAAGGTAACAAGTTTATTACCACGTGCATATGTGCTAACACCGAAAAAAGTTGGTAGGTTATAATGTTTTCTTCCAGAAGAATTTTGAAGGTTTAATTTATGGTCAATATTCCACATGATTTGATTTGAAAAATGAAAATAGATAGACACACTATTGTGGTACCCCGCTTTTGGTATTTTTGAGGAAATTAAAACATTTTTGGAAAACTATACCGCGGCAGCAGTGTAAATAGCCTTCGGTACATCAAAACAGAGTGAAATCGGCAGATCGCACGAAGGAGAAGATGGCGAGGCGAGTCGCCCACTGTCTCAAGGGCTATGCCCACTGGGAAGTGGCGGCGCAGGAGAAACTCACACTGCGTGAGTTGGAGCTTCGTGCAGCCGGGTTGTTGTCAGGTGACAGTAGGAGTCGGAGGAAGGTGGCGAAGAAGTTAGACTCTTTTCTGTCGAAGGCGCGGGATGCCATGTCCACCCTCGAGGCGGAGGTGTCCGCGGCGTTGTAGCGTTTGGGACTGCGCAGTCGAGCGGAAGATTGGCAGGGTAGGGAGTTAGTGCGCGGCAGTCCGTCGAGCAGGAGGCGAAGCACAGGTTCCGCGGAGTGTAGTGTAGCGTGGTTCCGTGCAGGCGCATAGCATAGTGCAGTGTAGTGCTAGTTAGGATTTAGAAGGTATAAAGTAGTTCCAGGCGTCTTGCCTTGGGATCTTTCCCAACATCAGAATTGCAGATCAGGAACTCATTTTCTCTGCGTGTTTGTGTCCTTAGTTCTGTCACCACGCAAGAGGAGCTACACCTTAGCGATCCGCATCGTGTAGCTGAAGGCCTTCGGCCGAATGTTCAGAGCTAGTACATTGGTTAGAGACTTGAGTAGTTCGGATCTTCACCTGCGGGTGACTGCCGATGCTCAGAGCCAATGATTAGTTAGATACTTGAATAGTTTCGCCCCTACACCTTCGAGTGTTTGTTCCTGATTGTACTCCTTCGGGATTTTTCCCCTGAATGCCAAAGTGAAGTTTTGCTACTTCGTGCAAGCCTTGGTTGTAAATTCAGGTTACGCTGCAGCAGGTGCTTGTGAGGTAACCCCTGTAGTATTTCTGGGAATGACAAGTGCCTAAGAATTCAAACTCTTCAATAGACTGTTATGGTGTGTTACTGGAATGTTTCTCAGTGAGTCCTTCAGTGCGGACTTGTGTTCTCTGCGCGTTTTGTGAGTTGAGAGTGTTGTTCACTGCGTATGAGTGACTTCGATCCGAAGTAGGCAGTCCAAACCGGGTTTCCTACGCTAGCAGCAAGCTAGTGGAAGTGTTGTAAAAGCCGGAGTTGGGAGTCACTACCCGCAGCTTCGTTGAGTGCACTCTTGAGAGACCTTCCCCCTGAAATCTTGAGTCGAGGTCCTAACGGATCTCTGGATTGTGTTTCTGTAGTTTCAGGTGTGTGTGTGTGTGTGTTACGCTGCACTGTGCGACCTCCGAGTGCGCTCCGAGTGGACACTTGCAGTATTTCTGGGAGTGACAGTCGCCTGAGAATTCAAACTCCTCAATAGTTTGTTAAACGTGACACTTTGTACCCTGTGTGTTCCTCTGTCCCTGTGGGTTCGACCTTTCTACCACTATATTGCAGTTTTAGCCTTTAGTGGGTTATTACAACTATAAGAAATAAATGCAATTGTAGCGAAAAATAAATGAGAGGATTAGTGAATTTTTTTTATAATAATTCAAAATTTAGTACGTATATAAGAGAGGTAAAAAGCAGATATTGTGAATTTATGCGTTTATGTAAGAAAATACTTCTAGATGCCAGCTGGCGCAACTTAGATCAGCCGCCAGCGATACCTTCTAAGTTATAAATAAAATATGCTCAAGTTGAAATTTGGATAAGACATGGAAAATGTTTCAAATATTTTAAGTACTAACAATAGTTCACATATAAATATAAAATAAAACTAGAAAATAAAAAGGAGTGACACGAATATATGGGGGGACAATTATTTCCAGGAGATAGAAAGGAGTCTTGAGTTTCACCTGGAGCCTAGACCACAGAAAGACTTTCTTCTCAGTTTCTCCATGTAGATAGTCAGACCTGTCAAATTGTTGATCCTTTTTAATAGATAAGTGTATCATGAGAAAGTAAGCCATCTCATGTTGTAGGGTCAAGCTTGGTCAAGATTCGTGTGGTAACCCACTTTTGGTATTTTTGCGGAATTTAAAACATTTTTGGAAAACTGTACCGCAGCAGCAGTGTAAATAGCCATCGGTACATCAAAATAGAGTGAAACTGGATGATCTCGGAGAATCTCGTAGAATCCAGGAGTTGGGCGCAATGTCTGGAACAGGCGCCGTCCTAAACGACGGGTTCTGAAGGAGTACCCCTTCGGCGCAAGGCGCATAATCCGCCTTCGGCACTAGAGGAATCCCTCAGAATCTATGCAATTCCCAAACGCCTTGACTTGGTTAGGGTTTCGTTGGAAAGAGCTTGACGCGCTGATTCTAACGAGCCCAAGAACGCTTGGAACGGATTAGGACTCAGGGAGTTGTGACGGTCGAAAGATACGAATACCTTTGCCTACGCATAGGCGAGGGAAGTTTGCCTACGCATAGGCAAAATAGGGTTTGACGTCGGCGGGGAGTCCGCCGAGAATGCCGCCTACGCAAAGGCGAGGAGGACTTGCATCTACGCATAGGCGAACGGAGTTCGCCTACGCATAGGCGTTTCGGCGTCGGCGGAAAGTCCGCCTTCGGCCCTAGAAATCCGCCTTCGGGGTTGAAACTTGTATGGCGCCTTCGGCGCCAGCGCATCACGGTTAGGTGAGGACCCAACGGAGTAGCGAACTCCGTACGGACCGTACGGACTGTACGGACGATTGCGCCTTCGGCCGGTCGGGATTTCAAAGACAAGAGCGCCGACGGAGAGGCGAGAGAGATGGACAGACTAGACGGAGTCCGTTGGCCGCGGGCAACGCCTTCGGCACAGCCGCCTTCGGCGCTGCGCCTACGACGAGGGCCTGCGCAGACGAGCATCTTGTGTGCGGACGGATTTCGCATACGCATAGGCGAGCGCCTACGCACAGGCAGATGAAGTTCGGCGCCGGCGGAAACTCCGCCGGGGATTCCGCCTACGCAGAAGGGAGTTCGGCTTTTGTCCTATGCGCGGACGAACGCCTTCGGCGGAGCGGGACTAGCCAAGTTGAAGTACGGAGGAATGCAGCGCGTCGGCGAGAAATCCGCCTTCGGCGCTGCGCGACCATCGCCGCGGCATGGTACGCTGGCGGAGTTCAAATTGCCAATTCGAGCGTGTGAGTGAAGGCGTGTCGGCGGAGCGTGAAGCCACGCGTGAGAGAGAAGGCCGTTATACCTCGGAGCCGGCGTAGTCATCAAGTGATTCGGCTTTCACGACCGAAAGCCGACCATGATCCCCTGCGAGCGGACAGAGTACACCCCATTCTTGAATATGCGATTTCAATTTCTTGTGCGAGCTGCGCGCGTCCACCTTCTAGCTGAGAGACGTTCTAGACACCACCGCGCGGAGAGTTACCCGGTGGCAGGGAGAGAATTGAGTGCGCGACATTTGGAATTGAGAGAGATTAGAGTTTGCAGAGGAAACAGAACCGCGGGCAAGAGGCTCGGGCATAGCAGAGAGAGAGGTGCGCAAACCAATTTCAAGAAAGCGATGTCGACATCGGTGAAGCTGCGGATGGTGCCACTCAAGCTCCCGCAGAATGGGTTGCGTGCTTTTGAGGACCGGCTGATTGCGAGGAAACTCAAATTCTTGCTGTGGGGATGGAATTACGTGTGCGCAGACATGGTGCGCGAATGGTTGGATGAGGAACGACAACCTACGCGTGGATTCCGTCCGCACGTAGATCGATGGACTGTCCGCGATTGGGAACAGGCATTGGGGAGGTGCGCAGATGAGGATGGGTACCTTCTGTTCGACAGTGAGAGCGTCAAAGTATCGAAGGCGGACGAAGCCTCCTTTGTGGAATTGTTCAAGCGGGAGAGGTCTTCCAAGAACGCGGGACTACAAAGATCGTTTCCGCAGGATCGTAGCGATGGCGCTGCTGCAACTGTTGCAGCCGCACCGCACTACGTACATCACGTTGTGGCAGGTGTCCTTCGTGGAGCTTGTAAAAGCCGGAGTTGGGAGTCACTACCCGCAGCTTCGCTGAGTACTCTCGAGAGACTTTCCCCCTGAAATCTTAAATAGAGATCCTAACCGATCTCTGGGTTGTGTTTCTGTAGTTTCAGGTGTGTGTGTGTGTGTTGAGTGAACTACGCTACACTATGCGACCTCCGAGTGAGCTCCGAGTGAACACTTGCAGTTTTTCTGGGAGTGACAGTCGCATGAGAATTCAAACTCCTCAATAGTCTGTTAAATGTGACCCTTTGTACCCTGTGTGTTCCTCTGTCACTGTGGGTTCGACCTTTCTACCACTATATTGCAGTTTTAGCCTTTAGTGGGTTATTACAAGTCGGTTACTCTTTTTAGGTTATTCTCTCATAAGAGTAAATTTTTTTGACAGATTCTGATCATTTAACTCTATACTCAGTACTTATTAGGCTGCATACAATCCAAAATAGCTTAAACCAGAACGAGAAAACTCTACAGCATGAAGATATTATTCAAACTCAGCCATTCAAGTTAAGAGAAGCATTTCAATCAATGAAATTGGCCTTACAACAAGATGTCTACTGAACAAAGCTCCAATCACAAACATGGAAGTCAAAGTTTGCAACTGCAAGGGAAGGTAGGACTAGAAATTGTTTTGTATTTTGCTATGTATCTGTCTACATTGAGCAAAACACAGCAGATTGGATATTTTTAATGTTGACATAGCTTGTATTCAAATGTCTCAACTCGAAAGTCACACGTCAGTCTATCCATTCTGCAAGAAATTCATTCATACAGAATACAGAAAAAGTAAATTGATTTATTTTCAATCACGTTGAGGATCATTGTCACGTTTCATACAGCTAAAAAACTGCTGAATAAGACGTAAATATACGCACATTGTTTCGTTATTTCAATCTTAGCACTGAAATCTCTTCAACAATGAAGAGATTTAAAAATACTGTAAACTACGTGATATCATTATAAGATAAGCATATGTGAAGGAATGTGAAGGAAGTTTAGGGCCTTACAGCCATGTAGCTGAGGGATCTTCTTGGAGTTCTAGGTCACCCATTTCTGATCGGCATAATAGTGATGGAATCATAAGTACTAGAATTATAACTACAATAATAAAGTTCAATTCAAGCCCAAAAATAGAAATAAAAATAAAATATCGAGGGCGATATTGGAACAGATTTCTAATTACAGTAACTGATTCTAGAAAACGGGCTTCTCTCCTTCAGTTTGGCTCTTGAGTGGATGAGAACCTGAAATACACACAGGCCTGTCAGCCATTAATTAAATGACGCCGTGATTTGTAAGCCTGCACGCTTACAAATCACGAAGCTAAAAACAAATCTAGAGATGAGGTAGAACAAGTCATTCAGAAAAGAGTAAAAGAGATTATAGATCCTGGTCGAGACTATCGATTACTTTCACATAGAGTGTTCATTGTTAAGGACCGAGACGAGTTCAATTTCAGCATTTTCAGAGCTTTGTGCCGTGATGATGTGAGGCACATGAAGTCAGATAATCTGATCCTACATCATTCTGTGAAGCGGTGTTGCGTTTTGTCGAAGAGGACTCACTTCTCAGGTTGGCTCTCGTTCTTCCTCTCTCGGTTGTGCTCCATGTTCAGAAAGTTCCATGCAGGCAGTGACAGCATCGATCTCCAGGATTGTTCTGCTCACGAGATTTTCTTCTCTCATTGCACGATCACGCTCTGCAACGTACAAGCGTCTGAGCTTTTCGATTCTTGCTTCCAATTCCTCGTCCGTCCCACTGTGAGTAGAATTCTCGAGCCATGATTGCAAGTTTTCTATCACAGCAGACGCGCTTTCGATATCTCCCCTCACCTGCGCGAGCTCTCTCAGCAATTGATTTACCTTGTCCCACGAAACCATGGCATTCATCAGACGGCTATGGCTGTTGCCAAAAGAGAAATGAGGCTCTATCACGGGCTCCTGGAACGATGACATGGCGATCACATGCAGTCACAATTCTTGACATCCAAGAGAGCACTATCTTCTTCGAGTTAGGTGTGCGGCATGAACAACACCTCGTCTACCTACTGGTGGTTCAGTAAACCTTCGATGACCAAAGTAGGTCCGATTACTTACATAAACAGTTTAGCACTCGCGCAATGATGAAAGAGCTTCTAGATCTTGATTTTCCTCTATTCCTGCAAATTGACTGCACAAATAAAGTGCTGATGCAGGAGAGCCTCGTCATGTGCAAATCTGCACATAAAATTGTCATCGTAGATTCACTTCTGAAAGAGATAACGCACGTTACTCATGTCAGTCATTGTCTTTTTCAGTCAGTCTTCTCCTAACTGACAGGCTTCCTATGGTTCGATCAGGCTTCCTCAAGCAATTACTGTAATCACTTACCAGCAATACAAACGAAAGTTTCGTGCACTGTGTATGAGTCTCTCGGGTGCAAGATTTCGAGCATCAGATGATTGTACGTCATTCAACAACAACTCATAAACACAAATTATCAAGTTAGCTTCATTCGAGGCCGATAAAAGTAATCAGTTTCCAGATTCTTGTAATTTACAAGAATCTGGAAACTGATTACTTTTATCGGCCTCGAATGTCTCAGAGAGAGCAAATCACAAATTTGTGTATAAATCATCCGTTTTAGGACTTCAGAAATTTCTCATCTTTGGTAGTAGGAGATTGTTAAAAACGGATACTTATGTACAAGACAATCATAGATTTGCACAAGTCTTTTTTTTTAGTGTGAACAGATTTAGGTACATAGTCAAGTTTTTATTAAACAAAAAATTATGTCATTTCTATAATTTATCATAATATAATCATAGTTTGTAACTTCGACGCAATTTACACATATTAGTGGTATTTAAGACAAATTATTTCTCAGGAATGTAAATGTTCCAGGTAGATAGATCTTCGTTATTTCCTTGATAAAACTCATGACAAGAAAGTTGGTCATGGATCGATATAATTAATTTATAGCTGCATTGCGTCCATGCCAAATCTGATTTACAAAGCTGATTTTAGTATCTTCATACCTGGGTTCATAGTCTTATCATAAGTAGTACATTAATTCCACTATATTATGAACTTTGAAGACGAATCTGACTATAGAATAGGATTTACTGACCACTTGCAATCATTGAATCTCCGCAGCTTAAAAGTGTTCATGATGTGTATGCATAAATAGGGAACTTCAAGCTGAAGTGGATCCTCCATCTAATGTTTGGTCGGAATGTCCTACATGTAAGAGATTTCATCTTATGCCCGTGTGATGGCCATAGTCTGTTGTGTCGCCTTTTCTTAAGAGCTGACGATTCAATGCACGACTAAACGATTCTCGAAGCTTTATCATTTCAAAGGTGATTTTCGCGTTTATATTTAAAAAAAAATCTGTATATTTGTTTGTAGCTAGTTGTTCTAGCAATTTGTAAGAATCCAGGAACTAAACGGAATCCAGGACAACTGAATGTGACTTGCAGTTTAGGCGGAATGCAAGAGACAGAGAATGGGTGACGAAGAAAATCGTCTCAACTCTTCCTGTAATAATTGGACCACTTGAAAAAGACTCGGAGTCAAAAGCTTAAGGATTCACAACCGCTCATCTTTAGTCATGAACTGGACGATCTGTTGACGATTCATACTTGAATTCTATGATGACTATCCATTCAAGTGGCCATATTGTGCATTCATGGAAAGGTTTCGTCATTTTCGTCTGGACGTATTCTGCAGTGGAACTCCTGCCTTCTTGGTTTGGAATATACTGAAAGCTAATCTCGCTGCATTTACTTACCAGTGAGCTTGAAATCCAGGTAGCAATCTTTACATCAAACAAGCATATGCAGAACTTTGGAGTTTGAAGATGATTCAAAAAGATCATACCTTGACGATTAAACTTCAAAGTCATCCAATATTGGGTTAGTGGAGGAACCTACGTTTTCTTTGAATGGGCTCCAATCTTCTGCAAATCAGGCAACGTAGAAGCTGGAATGTATTCTGAGACCGTGAATAGAGTCTTCTTTATCTACCCAATGAATTACAAAACTATAAACTGCTATATAGATATTTCTGGCTCTTTGAGGACAACTAGATGGGTCGGAAGCTGTGGAACTTAAGGCTGAGATAATCTGAATCTGAATAGCAGTCTTGATACAGAACATTGTGAAAGAAATTGTCAAATGCAATCTGCGTGTCTTCATAGCTTGCAGCTGCAGCGCCTCTCCTTCAGTACGGCGATAGAATCAGTCCACACCTGAACCACGGACTGGTTGTTAAAGGTTCCTTCTAAGACAATTCATCATCAACTTATGGATTAATCATGATCAATGACAGATGAACACAATTTCAAACATGCTTATTTTAGACTTGAGATTAAAATACACTGGAATTGAAGAAAGTGCTAACTCAAAACGAAGGCTTACCGAAACCTTTTTCATGCTGATGGATCCTTGTCTTGTGTATCATCTTCCTGGCCATTCTCAGACTGTTTAGCAATAGCGTCTATCTGTAGAATTGATTGATTTAATAGAGTTTCTTCTTTCGTTGCACGATCTCGCTCTTCAGAGTATAAAGTTTCAAGCCGTGCCATTTTTCCTTCAATGTCACTCTCCAAAGTTTCGGGAGAAACATTTTCGAGCCAAATTTCCAGCTCTTCTATCTCAGTAAGTGCCAATTCAGTTTCCTTCTTCAACTGTGCAATCTCTCTGAACAACTGGTTCACCGTGTCCCACGAAGCCATTCCTGCATCAAATGTTATTGCAAGCTATTGCAATTGGAAAACTCAACACTACCGCTTCTCCACAGACCAACATAGAGATGCATATCTATATATATGCAGTACATCACTTCCACTGTCAAACGCTCAGAGTTTCATGACCTCACCGTTTCCCCGCCATACTACGTCCATGCTGAACGATACTTTCTTCTGCCAGCTAGCCGTAGCAAAGTGATGGCTTGTATGAAAGTTCAGTAATGGAGAAAAATAATTGGGACCAGCTTAGACGTCCACCTCGTTTACTTATCAAGGGGTTATGAAGAATCAAGCTGAAAGTAGATTTCATCACAAGGAACTATTTGCATCTATCACAACGTCCATACATGAAACCTGCTACTCTGATTATCAACGCATAATGTTGGCATAAATGTCTCATGTATGAGCATTGAGAAATGCTGTACTGCTTTTGAAGTCACGAATTAAGTCGTTGATTTGTTGTCCTCTCTTGCTTAAAAGAACAGAAGATTTTCGCTTCTCCTCCTGTCAGACCCATGCCCCATAAGTTGTGTATCACGCCTCTGTCGTGCATCTGAGTCTGGAAACGCGATATGTTCAGCAGCAATCATAAATGACAGCTAAGCTGAGCTAAGCATGCTGAACAAGTTGGTCAAGTATGCATCACTTGAAACTTGTGAACTGAATAGCCGAGCATCATTTGCAACTTGCGACTCATGGATACAATGCCTCCTCATAATAATACCTGCTAGAGACAAGATACGGTCACATTCATCTTTCCAGTCGACGATAGAATGACCTTCTTTGATCATCGATGGAACTGGAGTAGTCCATAGAATTCGAAATTCTGATTTTAAGGTTTGCGAAAAAGCCCGCACAACTGCCTTTACATGAATTCTCTGCTGCTTTTTTCTGTCCTATAAAATAAAGAAGTCTTGCCCTAGCTCAAGCCACAAGAGTACGGGATCGTGACCCACTTACAGGAGCCAAAGAACGGCAAGAGCTTCATGTTTTTCTAGCGTCGTCGATTTTGCTCCACGTTGAGTAGTCGTGCATTGGACATCCACCACCGATGCGAAACCTCGAGGAGCTTCACCATGGACTGAAACAAAGAACACATGGCAGTGCATCTATCTTGCAGATATGAAATATAGTGCTTCAATCATAGACTCTGCTGCCAGTATTTGCATCTGCACATGCACCGTCAACAAAGCACTCGACGAAATGTCACTTCCCGCGTTTCCGGACAATGTTTTGGGATTCACACATTCCATATTCTACAGGTTTCATTCATCATAGCAACAAAATTCATTCATCCAAGAAAATGAGAATTATCATATCACTAAAATCTTGAATTGATGAGGATCTTGGATGCAAAACTTGTGTGCAAGATGAATCAAACGTTTAAATCTCATGAAGAGTAGAGTTTAGATATAGTCTTTACACTTCACATTGTAACATGTGGTGAAACATATCACACACTCCACATCTAGTGATCTTGATCTTTATTGGTTGAACTCTCAAAGTGTCAAGGTATTCAAATTACAAAATTTGTGATAAATGTGTTTTATTTCATCATCACTTATAATACTTTAATTATTGATAAAGAAAAATCAATACACATGTTAATATTTTGACTTTATATAAATATATTGTGAGACTCAGTTACTGTCTAATTAGTTCCCACGGATAGAAAACCAAATATGCATTAAATGAAAATAAGACATGTTTATTTTTGCAGTATAAATAGAATCTCGTCAAGGTGACTTTTTAGCAAGATACAAAGTGAAGCAACGAAGGGATAAAAAGCATTTATACGGATGTGGATGAAATTTCAAAATATGGGAAGAATGTGGAAGAAATTGGACTCTTCTCTACTCTGGAAACAAAGAGAAACTGCGAGTAGATAGTAATGAAAAAAAAGCAAACTGTTAGTCGATTTCAGAGATGGGAAGAGCACATGTAACCAATCTTGCATTGAGTAGGAACTCCTCTATCGAATCTTGCCCTTATAGAAATGCCCGATGTACCACTTCAGCATTTGAAATACAGTAGCAAGATTTCAAAAGATCTGGAAAATCCAGAATTCATATCCGAAATCTTCCACGTTCGTACGAAAAGTGTATTTTACTTGTAAAAATTCTACTACATCTGGCATATGAAGAGATTTTTAAAGCAAACAAAGTGTTTGTGAAATTTTAAATTTTGTTTGAAATGTAACAAGTATATAATGAAAGTGAAAATATGATTTAAAGCATTGGGTTCGTCGATTGATAACATATATATATATATATATATATAATCTATCACAAAATTTTCATTGTGTTTTAATCAAATATTTCTTGTCATTCAAAGAAATGAATAATCTACAAAGAAACATATCATCTACATGAATTTTTGCTTTTTTTATTCTCATTTTGACATATATAATTTTATTCTCTTGTATTTTATTTTCTTAGTTTTCTTTTACATCACAAGCTACATGATAAAATTGAACAAAATTCCTGAGAAAGAAGAAAAGAATGTTCATAAATTCAAATTTTTAATATTATATTCAGAGTAGAAATACTTTGATAATTAATTATGCATCTTTTGGCATAGCCGCAGAGCTACCATAAATCAGAATTTTTCTCACTAATAATCAGGAAATATATTTTCAAATTGAAATATTTATGTTCCTTAGGATATTGTCAATGATAGTTCTGAGGCTTTTAGATATCAGCGTTAGAAGTTATTTTCCTCGTCCAGCTCCCGTTTAAATCAATACTTTGCCAGGAAATTGGTGTTTGCAATCCTGTAAATTTTCAATATCTTAGATTCAACGGGTATCTTAGCACATATCACATTCAATAAAACTGTAGAACTTAAGCATATTTTTTTTTCAATACAAAAAAGTGCATATGTATTATATTCACTCTATACAAATCAGAAACGGCTAAAATTATACTTGTGTGTTTTAAGTTAGGATCAGTTATTTTATTCTTGTGAAATAAAAGCATGTGAGTTAGCTCATTTTCAAGTACTTTTTTTACAATCTAAGGAAGATGGGGATCCTTTGATTCATAAAATAATACACAAATTGATTTCATGTACTCAAAGCACTGAAATAATATCCATTTCTAAGTATAATTTATATAAGTTTATATAAGTTTGTAATTTATATAAGGTATAATTTCTAACTTTCATCATCATTAATTTGAGTATGCAAAGCAAAGAATGTTACACGAAAAGCTTGAAACAAAATTACACACTATGCCACATTGTATAGAAAATTGAACACTAAAGATGTAAAATAAGCATTTTTCTTGCATCCGACTGACAAGATCTTGCTATATTACATGCTTTACATGATGAAACAACATATCTAGGCTTCTTATGATGGACAATGTACATTGATATTGTTATACAGTCAAAACATAGCGGGAATATTACCTCAGAATGTTGAAAAATCTTTGCCGCACATGCCTTAGGAGATATTTCTTCATGAAGCATAGTCTCCAAATGTTCTATAAAACATATGTTTCAGAATAGATGCAACTTCATAATTGTGGATATAAAAACTACACGCACCTTGTAATAATTGGTTGGATACAGTAAAACGAATTTCTCTTAAACATGATTTGATGAAGAACTTAACAAAATAAAATAAAATTGTAAAGAAATGAAAAAAATAGGAAACAAAATTGAACATTAAACTAATATATTTATCTTATCAAAATCCAATAGCGTTCGCCTAGAACATCATGGTGTTTTCCAAATACTCTGATAAAAAAGATAAAGGAAACGTTTTTTTGAAAAGACTCAAGACATAATTCAGAAGAAGATTTGAAAATCGTAATATATTGTAAGCAGTCTTCTAAAGAAACGCTTGTTACATTAAATTCCGATTGGAAGCAGCGTAATTTAATTCGACAATCTATCAACTTAGGATTGATGTATTACTATCAAAGATTAGTTGTAATAGTGAATTCATTGGGTTAATGGTAGTAATGACAAGTAATGCTTAGCATCCAGAGGTTGCATACGAGTTTAATATAATTGGACTTAGGATGTTGTCATTTAATATGAGGTCTCAATCATAGCAGTAATTCAGTAACAAAAATATGTAAGCTCATCTTTACAGTGAGCTGTTAAATGTGAAAAATAATTTCATTCATAATGTAAGTGCTTTTTAAGGTTTATCTTTGTGGCTAAGGATTCATCATTACTTAGGGTTTTAGATTTGTGAATTAAGTGACAAAGTTGAGGCTGAAATTTAGTTATACTGTTGTCATAATTATTAAAAAAATAGAGTCTGAACTTCGAATTGCAAAGAATGTTTTATTGAGTCACTGTTCAAAACGCGAAGTGCTGGATCGCTGAAAAATTGGAAATTAACCTTAGCAACTGTCTAATTTTAGTTTCGTTCAAATGTCGGGAATGATAGTTGAAGGTTTCTGACATCGAATTTTAGGTTAATTTTTCACACGATTGGAGAGTAAAGTGTTCGTAGGAAATGGCAGGCTACCTACTGTCATAAAATCATCATACATTTCATGTATATGAATCACACTTTCATAAAGATGATCAAAAGGATATGATTCTCCAAATTAAATCGTGACAATCTTATGTCAAAATTGTCACGATTAGAAAATGAGCAATAACCTGCAAACATATGTTGTCTTGCATCTCACATCTGATGATGTCTAAGACGATGCCATGTTTCACAGTGTAGTCTACTTTATTTCTTTGTTAATCTGTATACTTTACAGTATACACTCCCTTAAGTCAGCACCCATATAAATCCGCATCCCGATTAAGTCCGCATTTTTCAGACGAAATTTCAAGGATCGAATTCTAGAGTTTTATTATCAGCAGAAGTCAAACTTTTGATTAATGACGGTGATGCTAAAATATTGTTATAACTTGAAACGAATGTTTGCATGTATGAGGCAACATGGTGGTATCTCACTAGAGATTAGCTCTTTCTCCTTTTTGGCCCTAAGGTTGGATCTTTTAATAATGGCTTGTATCTAAGTCTACTGGTTTTCATTCTACTTCCTATTCGTATCCCATGCGTCTCAAACCCAGTTTCATTCTTGATAAGGCTTCACTCATACCAATCTCTACAGACTTACCAATATCTTAAAGATATTGTCTCGGTTAATAACTATATCGACATGAGTTCGTTGTAGACGGTGTTGAGAAAGAACAGCACAAACTAATTGTAAAAAGAATTGAGTCAGATATTAACTATCCTTTTCCTTAACAATTGCAATACAAGGACTATTAGTAATGTCAATGTTTACCTCTAACCACAGGGTTAATAGTTTTTTGGGATGAAGTGAAGGGTGGTACGAAGTATGACTACGTCTGGAAAATCATTGGAATGTTGTCCGAGTCTTTTCTCGTTATTAATACCTTTTGACAATAGTTAACATAGAAATACCGCGGACAGTTTGAAGTCACAAGATAAGATATAACTAAAGTCCGCATCCCAGATAAGTCTGCACAAACCTTCTCAGATCAAAGTGCTCAGACTTAACCGAGTTTATACTGTATTTATGGTATTGTTTATGAATTTAATGCAATACGATAATCAATTTGATTATTAAAAAAACCCTGGAAAAAAATTACAACTATTTTACATTGAAGATTTTTCTCACTTGAATATTTCTTGGATACTTATTTATTTTATGTATTTATTTCAACGGAAAATGTAAAATAAATAAATGCTTAAATTTATAGCAACTCATTTTCAGTCATACTTCATTCTTGCTGAAGTTCAGCTATGGTACATCTCATTTACAGCATATTGCAAAACTCTATCATGATATGGATCCCGACGACTTCAACAATAAATTAGTAGAAGACAGTTAGTATTCAAATGATGGAATAGTGGTACGATAGAAATACTATATTTAATTTTATATATATATATATATATATATATATAAGAGTAACTAGCAAACAAACAAATGCTCAAACTATACTAATTGCATCATCAATCAATGGGGCATGTGTGCTGCATATGACTTGCCCCATCAAGTTTACACTTTATAAGTATTGGTTGTCGATGACCTTTACAAAGAGCTCCGTTGATGGCAGCATCTAAGTTTTGCTTCGCTCTATGGGATTCCTCCATCATGTGCTAAACACTATATATGTGTAGTAGTGCATCGTGGTGAATTTCGACGTTCCTCTCGTCCCCGACA